CCTCACCGGTCGCGGGTGAAGTCACTGAGCTCGGCTAAGAGATCATTGGGCGACCGGCGACTGTGGAACTAACATGGTTACGTGGACAACCACCTGTTTGTCGTGGAGTTCATGGTCTTCCTTACGGGGCCATGACATCCACGTAACCATGTTAGTTCCAGGGAGGGAAAAGGGAAAAGGGTGGTGATTGGATGGTATGGTGGGCCATTTAGTCCTACATCCTTTTGTGGTCCCAATGTAAATCGATTCAGGACCGTGTCAGAGACATGCTGAACGGTGATTCAGGACCCGCTGGGCGTTGTAAAAGCAGGTTACTAACGACTTGTAAGGAGTCGGCGGGAATCTAATCTTCAAACTCTGAGACATGTCATGCCATGAAGGCCCTGGTAACTCTTCCCTACAGGTCATTCAAAGACCGGGTTTTATTGGATCCTTGGACTTGTATCCCTTTGTGTCGTTTACTCACTCCCAATCCCACCCACAGCCACGCTGGCCACCACCGACCGTCAAGAGACGTGTTGAGGATATCCCGCAGGAAGAGGATCTCTTTGGCCTAGGAGAAGGAGAGGAGAAAAGGAAAAAAAAACACAGCAAACCGCACCCGTCGGGTGACGGACTGCATTTTTCCGTCAAAGGTTCTTCACATATGAGTTCAGCTGATGATTGGATGGACATCGCGGGAAAAAGCAATGCTGGAGTCAAGCCATGCTACACTACACCCAGCGCCACCTCATGTCGGGTGGCTCCTTTAAAGGAAAAGACATCGTCAGGTGTGTCTCCATGATTTGTTTGTTGCTGCATTCAGTTCACATCTCGGGGATACCAAGAGAGGTTGAGTGACCAGTTCCGACCGTACTGGGGTACCTATGGGATAGGCCAAAAAGGGTCCTTCAACCTCTGTTGGTAGTTCCAACCAGTTCCAAGAAGTTCCAAGTCTAAAGTCCCAGAACTCCCCACCCCGCGAAAACCCGCGAAAACCAACACCGCGCCACTTCCGATGCGCGAACCGTTCGCGATTCGGACGCTACGAACGGGCGGCCCCCTGGTGCCGATCTCCACCCGCCTGGATCTCGATATCCGCCGCCTGGCCACCCGCGCCGCCCAGGGGCTGATGGATCCTCAGCGGCCCGGGTTTTGAAGCGAGCGGAGTGGAAGATCGAGCGGAGCCCATTGGCCACAAAGCTCCGTTCGGGTCCATCCTTGTTCGTAGCGATGCCCGGCATGCTCCTAGTCGCGGATCAGATCCGATCCTCTTTTTCGTTGAGCATGTCGTTCTGTTTGGAGCGAGGATAGAAGGAAACGGAAGGTGTGAGGAAGCGTGAGGGTGGAGTCTGGAGGTGGGTTTGCATGGAAGAAGTGATTGCTATGGTAGGTGTATTGGACTAGCTAGCTAGCCATAAAAAAAATCTTTGGCTGGCCATCTGTGAACTAAACTAAAGCATAGGCTATCTATCTCTCTGCAAACTAGGTGAACACCCCTTGAAGTTGGAGCACATCACTATCCTATGATCTGATGCACTGATGCATGAGTCATTTGTAAACGTCCTTCTGTGACTGGCGCCATCCTTCGGCCACCTGCACCTGGAAAACGGTGCCCTATCGACCTAACCCCGCTGAAACAGGAAGCGGACTCCGAACGCTGCTTGCGAGCCCAAGGTTCATGATTCGGGCGTTGGGCAATGACCTCCTCTTGCCCTTGGTTCCTGCCACATGAGCGGCCAATGCTGAGTTGCATGGCGAGCGTGACCAGCAGGCACTGTCAGTGCCAAAGTAAACAATCGATGGACAACAACTACAACAATACCGTTACTTGAAATATGCTCCCAGCGGCCTTTGCATCGTTCCAAGGCCTATCTAATTACAGCCCATTATGTTCCAAGGAAGAATGCTTCGATTCAGTCTGAGAGTTGTCACGACTAGAGGCAAACCACATGATTGAAGCGAGGACTTCTAGCTGATCTGGTGCCTAGAAAACGGTCCCTCCTCGTTCGTCAACGCGTGTGTAGGCCCCTCAAGTCCATCGGACGAACGGACTGCCCCCGCCCGAAAAAAAGAACCAGCAGTCACAAAGGGATGCTATCCATGGAGGTTAGGGATGCCCAGCTACTCCACTCACGTAAGGGGACTAAACACCACCCCCTTTGTGGCTGCTGGAATGGAGTCAAGGCCTGGATACCGAGAGCTGTTTTCGCGGCTGCCGGCCGCTCCCCGCGGCGGACACGACTTCGGGCTCCTGCGCCCAAGAGGAACGCGCCCATCGACGCGGCCATGCCGTAGCACACGGTGGACACGTCGCCTTTGGGGACACCGGCGCCCGTTTCGGATCGGACGAGCTTCACAGAGCGGGCCGCTCCGGCGCGGCACAGGGCGTGGCCACGAGGACACCGGCTTCCGTACCCACTCCGTGGATGCCGGAAACCCCCCTGTGGCCGGAGACGCCTTTGGGAATGATTTTTCGGCCAAGAGTCCACAGAGTCCACAGGTCATGTAAAGACAATGGTCGCTGTTCTATTCAGGTGTGCCATGTGTGATTCGTTTCATCCAGTTGGCTTGATTCTATTCGATCTATCAACTGCTCATAGCTCTATATAACATCTATAGATCCCCCCCGGAGGTCCCCTCTCTGATTCAAGTCGTCCCTATCGTCCAAGTCGCATGGTACGAACTGCATGGCGTCGTAAATGGCCATTCCCGCAGAGACCGAGCCGCCTGGGACACCCCGGCAGCGCACCACTGGGGGCGGCGGAGGCGTCTCTTCCCCAAAATCCGTCGATCGAAGATGGACCAGAAATTGCGCTTGGGCTTTGCCCTTGCACAGTAACAGTGACCACAAATCATACCACAAAAAAAAGCACAGCAGTTTAGCCATAGTTTGCATTACGATGATGTTCATTTGCCTTTTTACCGCCGCTGGCTACAATAATAGTCATGTACCACAAACCCCATGATTTCATCTGAGCGCACCCACTCGCAAAATGATCGAAAGTTTCAATCCACTCAAAATGGTCTGGGAGTTCTGCCAAAACATCATATGGCAGGCCTGGTAGAAGGGGTTGGCTCTAGAGGGGGACCTGGCTGGCTGCCAGAACTGTGGGCAGCCCCGGGAGTTCCAGGCCCAGGGGAGGGGGGGCCTGCCTTATAAAACAAAAGAAAACTGGGGGGCCGCTCTTTTTAAAAGGAAAATGAAAAGGAACACAACCACAAAAAAAAAAAACACACACACAAAAAAAAAAGAACTGACCGCAAAACTGACCACACCTTTGTGTGTATTTTTGTGTTATTTTTTTGGTATGAATTGTGGTTCGGTTTTTTGGTTTTTTTTGTGGTATGACTTGTGTTTTTTTTTGTGTGTGTGTTTTGTGGTATGACTTGTGTTTTTTTGTGTTTTTTTGTTTTTGTGGTATGACTTGTGGTTGTGGTTGTGTTGTTTTTGTGTTATGACTTGTGGTTTTTTTGTGCTTGTTTTGTGGTATGACTTGAAGCTTGTGGTTCTTTTTTGTACTTTTTTGTGGTATGACTTGTGGTGTTTTTTGTGGTATGACTTGTGGTTTTTTTTGTGGTATGACTTGTGTTTTTTGAATACACTGGGGTGCCGAAAGTTGCGCTTCTTGACTTCTACAAACCCTTTCCCCTTAGAATCCTACGTGCAACATGTCGACACGTAAGTTGCGGTCAGATTTCCACACCTGAAAGCCTTATAAGTATTATAGATTTAAACGGGTGTGGAAATCTGACCGTGCTGTACCTGCCAGACAAAATGGACGTGTCAATCCGATCCGCTGTAGACCGCAAGTGTCAAGAGTAAGAAGCGCAAACTTTAGGGTTCTTGAAGTATAGAATCAAAGGCGAGTGGCAGGAGACAAGGCCATGTGCATTGATATTGTGACTTTTGTGGTATGATTTGTGGTCGTGTTTGCGGTTTTTTGTGGTCTGACTTGTGGTTTTGTTTGTGTTTTTTTTGTAGTATGACTTGTGTTTTTTTTGTGGTGTGACTTGTGGTTTTTTGTTTTTTTGTGGTATGACTTGTGGTCTTTCTTGTGCTTTTTTTGTGGTATGATTTGTGGCTTCTTTTGTGTCTTTTTTGTGGTATGATTTGTGGTCCAGGACGGAAGACGACCACAAATCAAACCACAAATAAAGCACAAAAAAACACATGAATTTGGACAATTTTTTTGAAGATTTGGGGTGGGGAGCCAGGAGCGACAGGGTGGGCAGCCGGGAGCAACGGGGTGGGGAGCCAGAGCCAATTTGGACTTGGCTCATCCTGCTGTGAGAGCATGCGCAAATGATTAATCTTGTGGTAAGCAGTACGGTCAATCATTCTTTGAGTTGCCACTTGAGGTTGACCAATTAGTGAAGGGATGATGTTGGTTTCTTTTGATTTGCAAATATGTTCAGATTTGTGTTCTTTAGAGTTAGCCCGCCCACTGAACCAATCATTTTGCATTTCCTAGACCAGAACCCGCCCACTGATCCAATCTTTTGCATTTCCTAGACCAGAAATTGCAATCCAATCTCCCTAAATGACTTTGAATATGATTGTGGTTTTTGGGGGTATGGTTTAAGGGCCCTGACCCTTTACGGCTGTTTCTGTGGGGGGGCAGGGCCCAAAATTGCGCAACTAGGGAGCCTAGTTGGGCAGCCCTTTGATGGGGAACTCGCGTGTCTTTGAGGAAGCTGACCCAGCTACCAGTCCAAGATAGGAAGATATTCAAAAAAAGGTACCTAGCACAATGGGTGCCCTGTCGACCTGTTTACGGCAGTCTAGCCAGGACGGTACCTATCGTCTGCTAAGACGTAAAGGTCCTGCGGAGTCACGTCGCCCACCTGGCGAGCTCGCCACTCGCGCCGCTCGCAGCTCCACCTGGCGAGTTGATGTAGATGGTGATGTCCTTCTTCGCATCCTCCGTTCGGTGCGTCGGTCGAGTCGACCGGATGGTCGAGTCCCAGTCCGAGCTTCCGGGAGAGAACACCACGTCTCGCGGGGACGGTGTTAAACGTCACAGCTGGTCTCCAGGCCGATCGGCCAGGCTGTCCTGGTTCGCCAGGAACAAGATCTGCGCCACAAGTACATTGGCCATCTCATCATTCACCTGGGCCAAGAAGTGGGTTTGGAAGTCATTCTATGATATTCGTCACATGCAGGACAGCAAGCTCCCCCACATGCCTTGCCTAACCACGCAGCGGGTCGCAAGATCTTTCTCTTTGCTTGCCTGACCCTGCCTCAAACCGATTAATTAGGGGGCATCTTTTTTGAAGTGCATGACTTAAGTGAACAAGGCACCCCCGCAGCACCAGCATGATGAATGCTTGAAGATCTTTAAGTCAACTCACCTTCCAACCAACCCTAGCCTCTCTTCCTGGGCCGCGCCTGGCCGTTCAACATGAGCACCCGATCCTGCAAGAGCTTCGACATCACGTCGATGGCACCCGAGCCCGTGGAGATCATCGGCATGCGCACCTGGCGGGGCGAAGACCCGACGAGCGGCTTTGGAGAAGAACACCACGCAACGGCCTCCAACCAACGGCCTCGATCAACAAATGGATTTATCAATATTTATCCACATGTTATCACAACTTACCGATATACCACACTTTACCACACACCTACGCGACACCATCACTACACCATATCATACCTATCTATGTCCACCGGGTCCCCATAGGTCGACTAGTCTAATTGTCCAGAAAGTCGAACTGCGAGGATCTCCCTGCCAACCCTTTCTCCCTATTCTTTCCCTTCAAGAATCATATGACACATGTGGCATCCTCCTTTGGAGAAGGGGTGAGAGTACACCTCCTGGCAGGAACCAAACCCCCAAATCCATGTCAAGCTGGGGGAGATCCACAAAAACCCAACACCTGCCAGTGAAAATCCATCCTCCAATCCAACCACACTCCTCCACTGAGCCCCCGTGCGGGTGGGATCTGCCCTGGCGCCGGCTCCGCGCAGCGCGCCGTGCGGACGCCGCCGCCGGCTCCGCGGCCGGCTCCGCGGCGGAAGGCGCCCGGAACGGCACACCTCGGTCGAGTGTTTGGTGCACTCCGCTCGACCAATGGCAGTGGAAAGCAATGGCCTCCAACCTACTAGCGATGGCCTCGAACCTAATTGTAATGGCCTCAGAGCTAATGGTAGACTGACGCTGGAAGATCATTTAGAGGAACGATTCGACCATTCGACCATTCTCCACGGGCCCATCAGGGGGGCTGCCAGCCAGAAAAAAGCGTGACGTGTGCATCGGAGATAGGTCCAAAAAATGGCATCATATCTTTGTCAAAAACTATCGGCTATAGGTGTCTGATGTTTTGGACTGAGCATCCCAAGTTCACGGTTTGGCTCTTTATCATGGGGCGACAGAGAAAATGTCTACCACAAGCGGCACCTCCAAAAAGTACACCTCAGCGGTTCTGCTGATCAGGGTCGAGGAAATCAATCAAGAATCCCAAAACATCATCTCTACTGACTCCTGAGAAACATCATGCAAGAATCCCAGTCGTCCCCTGATCAGTCAAATCATGCCCAAACCCCAAACCGTTAAGCCCACCACAGGTTCCCACCTCTTCCCACCCCTCTCCGCCCAAGGTGCGCAGAGAGCACCACGGCGCCCAGCCCCCACGCCGTCGTGGCATCCCACGTCGGTCGGCCATCCGCGGGACGGCCCACGGCGGCCCGCGGCGCGGCGCGCGGGGGCGCGGAGACGCCCAAGGAGAGGAAGCCCAGGCCTCGTCGAAGGTGGCCGGCCAACCCTTCGGTTGGGAAGGGTAGCAGTGAAAGGGTCAACTGAGAAAAGGGTATATAATTAGGCAATCTCAGGCGAAGAGTTCAGAAAGGATTTCAAGTGATGTGTTCTTTTCGAGGAGATTTGGCTTTCGTCCTCGGGATTTGGCTTGGCAGCCCGTTTTCGGGCTCATCACGCTAGATGATTCTCCGGCCTCCGGGAGTCGTCAACTCCGATGCGAACTTCTCTGTTCCAAGGTGTTCTTCCAATGTTCTTCATTGCCCTTGATTTCGTGGCGCAAAGATGTGCAAAGGAATTCGGTGAAAGGCTGCATCAAAGGGTATTTGATGGTATTTGTTTGGACATGTTTGGACCCTGCCGTGCCATGCCTCACTCGTGGGGAAAGGAGGGGGACGGTCGCCTGGTCCGAGGCCATCACCCAGGCGGGTTCTCTCGCCTGCATGAAGCATCGCTAGGGCCAGCAAGAAGGCCAAGGCCTCGTTTCCATCAGACGCGCTGGGAATCCGAACTGAACGTGGAATTCGGATCCCGACTTCCCCCAAGTCCCCAACGAATTCTAGAGCTTTATGCCTTCCTTTGTACCTCCGCTGGCTAGCTCCACCGGTTCCTCAAAGAGGTCTCCGCGGAGCTCCCCGCGCAGCTCCCTGCGTAGCTGCGCAGCTAGCTCTGACCAAGCGACGACCCTCCAACTGACTGACGCTGGAAGCAGCCCGCCCTTCCAAGCCCTGCCTGGACTGCCCGGACCGCTCCCATCGCGTTCGCCCCTACCTCCGATCCCCAAAACCGCCGCTTCGTGACGCCGAAGCCACGCGCTGGAGCCGAAGGTCGGTCGGGCGGACCGTCAGACCGGGAGTCCCCTGGACCACCAGTAGCTGGGACCATCCCGGGGAGGAACCTTTAGAGAACCTTTGTAGGACATCCCGGAGAGCACCGGTCAACATCCAGGACATCGTGCACGACAAAGGCTGAAGGGTCCAACGGAAGGCGACCGGGCACCGGCACCGGGCACCTTGGCAAATCAATCGGCCAAAGTGACGGGCGACTCGTTTCAAGCGACGGGCGGTGACCTGTTGCAGGATGGCTGCTCCGCAAATGATGCGAAGGGGTCACTTGCCGGGCATTCTATATACGAGAAATGGTGATGTCTATCAAAGAAATGACTGGCATTTTATAGAGCATCGTTCACGGGGCACAGCTTCGCAACGTTTCTGTAGATGATTCCTTCGGACACCTGTATCTCCGGCTATGCGTGGAAGATGGATGATCCAACCAGTTGCATCCCCCAAGATGGTTAACTTAAAAAAGAACTCTCTCTCCACATGTGCAAATGTCACATAACCCCTTCCAACCAAATAGTCACATGACTCCCTCACCCTCCGAAACCTCGGCCACTCGGCCGCCTCTCGCCACCCCTCGGCCGCCTTTCACCCCTCCGCGCCCCGGGAGCACCATGTGGAGCTCAGCGACCTGCCGGGCGCGCTTCACGGAACGCCGCGCTTCACGCGACGCGTGGGGCGGCTCGGGTAGTGGTCGGCGACTGGTCGGAGCATGTCCGCAGCGTGCCGTTCGTAAGGCCAGGAGCGCCCCCTAGAGGAGCTTCTTGTTCCGTTCGGAGTTCGTAGCCCTTGTTACTACCCCCCATCTATGGTGAGGGCATCCTGAATGACAAGTAGAGGACGAGCCAGCTGAACGAAGGGGGCTTGCCGTGGAGAAGGACATGTTGGAAGACCACCTTACGCTTTTGTCTCACCACTCACTTGCCAAGATGGAAGAAAACGGTCTGCCGTGTCCAATTTCAAAAAGAAAGCACAACTGCCATCGGTATATAAACAGTTCCCCCCATCCGGTCCTCTCATCTCGCTCGCATGCCACGCTCGCCTTGGATGGCAAACGGTACCCAGGTCTACTGGGCATGAAATCCAAGCTGGACATGAAATGGCATGATTGGCATGATGCGAGCGTTTTGACGGCCTTTCAGCTTGAGGCAGTGCAGCTTCCAGAAAGCCCCAACAGTCAACATGATGTCAACCAGAAATTGAACTATCAAAGGGTGCCTGCTGTGATCATTTCCTCTTTCTTGGAACACTTGGTTTCACCAACTCAACGGGGCGGGCACCACGCGTCGCCGCGCCGACGCCTGCAGCTCCACGCGTTCCACCGAGCGGAGGCGCCTCGGTGAGGCGGGCTGCGAAGCGCCTGCCCCGTGGTGGTTTCCGGGAAGTTTCTCCAGCTGCTTGGATTTCGATGGTGGTGAGAAAGCGATGGTTGATGTCATTTGATTCCGATGGTTGTGATGATTTGTGGTGAGAAAGCGGGCGGGGACGGTCGGAGACGTGGGACGCTCCGGTGCACCTTCGAACGGCGCCGGTTTCGCGTCATCGCGGGACGCTGCAGCGGTTGGTTGAAACGGGCCAGGGGTCTAGTGGAACAGGTGTGCAGCGGTGGATTAGCTTTTAATAGGATAGGGGATACCTTTTAGACACTGGGTTTGGATCTATTTTCCCTTGGGGTCTCCCTATACTACACCATACACACCCTTGGCTGCCTTGCTCTTGTAATACCCAAACCCACCCTGGGACCGCCTTTCAAACGATCGGTGCGAAGTCCGCCCGGATGCGCGGCAGATTTGGGTTGTACGTTGGGTTTTAGATGTTTTGAAGGGGGATTCCGGGTGTGAACGCCAGCTGCAGCAGATTGGCAGGTCTTCGAACATTTCGAGGGCGGACCTAAGGATTACCCATTCAGTACCCCTTGCAGGCTGGTAGATGATCATAAGTTCTGATATTCTGAGGACCCCCCCCTACAACAGCATCTCCAGAACCTCTCCGAGACCTGAGTGCCCCACAGCAGGGAAGGAGGCAGCTGAAGGGCGTTGTCCTACCCACGCACCGAAATCCTTTCCGAAGACCTTGAGCCTCCTTCCGAGACTTGACTTCATAAACCCCTCGTGAGCATACTCCCCAAAACAGTAGTGACCCAAAACCACCATGCTATGAGCCTCCCTCCATCCACTACCCCCCACACTTAACAACTCTACGCCGCTACGCCCGTCTCGCTCCACTCCTCCAGACAATCACCCTCCAGGTGGACGCTCTCCAAGAGCACCACCGCTTCAACAGGGCAAAAGGGGATCCAGCAGCGGTACCTCCGCGATCCACTTGTTCCGTGCCACGGTGCATTTTGGGGCACCAACAGTCGATGCAGTCGGACAAGTCGGCCGTTCAGCACACAGAGATTTCACAGACATTCACCGCCAGGGCCGCCACCACAGGGCCGCGACAGCAACATGTTTCACGACTTTGTCTTTGATTGGTGATTAGTCATCCGACTGGATGTTCCATGAGATATCCTTTCTAGCAGTGCGTGGCAATCGGGCTTGAGAAAAAGCGCAACTCATTCAATGGAAAATGGAATGTGAGTCAAAACCGGGACACCCAAAAACTACAGAGAGTCAACATCCCGAGGTTGTTGTTCTGACATTTATCCGTCAGGTTCATCCAGGACATTTGGAGGGCAAACCCCCCACTTGCCCGTTACCCACGGCCAAATGACTGAAGGCCATTGCCAATGACTGTGCTCCACCTAAGACCCCCTATCCTCTGCCGAAGTGCTTCAAAACCCAACCCCTCCCACCGTCGCGGCTCGCCCGCGCCCGCGCGACCCGCGGGCCGCGGCCGGCACCTGACGGCGCGGGCCGCGGAGCCACCCGGACCTTGAGGCCAGGAGGCCTCGGAGCGCAGACCGTTCCTCTGCCCCGATGGCATGGGAACGCCGTAGTAGCCATGCATTTCTTCCACCGGGCGGCGCACCTACCAATTCACCCAAATGGACCCGTCAGTTCCTGCCATGATGAACCCCGACCGAGTCTTCCGAGTCATGGTGAGTCTTCCAGGCGTCGCCCGAGTCAGACCTCCACCGATCTCCTGCCTGCACTCGCACGCGCGAGAAGAAGCCGGCCAGCCTGCGCGGTACTTCTCACCGGTCGATGGGTCCCGGTGGATTCTGGTAGGCCAGAGGTAGGCCAGACCACAAGGGAAAATGGCTCCAAAATGGTGTTAAAGAAGTACTTGATCCATCCCCCTTAACACCAAACATGTGCCTGTCCACCCGGTGGACACACTGCGCCACCCGGCACCAGCAACAGCTCGATGAAAGCAGGTTGGTTACACCCGCAGGACACAACCTGTTCTATCTTGAATGTGTCCCACATTGGCTTGTGATGCTTGGCCAACACCACATCTTGTCGTGAAGCTCTGAGATCACAGCTGTAGTATAGTCTAAACGCTGAAGAAATGGCCTCAAACGATTGCATTGGTCGCCCGGTCGCCTTGCTTCAGAGAAAATCAACTCATACCATGATCACCTAATGGACACCTTGCAACCATGCCCCACTTACCAACCCCTGTCCACCCCTAGAATGACCTCAGCCGCCATTCTCAGCGCCGCTCCTTGGAGCCTTTTTGCGGAGAAACCTCTTCCGTTGGCTGGCACAAGAGTTCTTTTCGCGGCTACGAAAGAGGCCCCCAGCACGTCACGTGGCGAGATGGCGAGTTTGCCGCGTTTGCCGCGCCGAGAGAGGATCCGACGCCGCTCCACTTCTTCATAGCTTATATTGGTAAACGATGGTGGTGCAGCCATAGGTGGCATGATGCGGAAGAGCCACTCTTTCAGCAAGGATCTGAACAGGTCCCAGTGGTGGTTTGAGCTACAAGTTCGTGGTTGGACAAACCGGGACGACAGGTTACTGCAAAGTTTGGGGTCTATCAAACCGGGCCACAAAACGCCAACTGTGAAAGGCGAGCCTGTGTGGGGTTGGAAGGTGGGGAGATGGCCACGGAGTGGATGCCAGGTCTGGAAGTGGGGTTGCAAACTGTCATTAAGAAGGCAGGCCCATCCACTGTTCAGAGAGTGAACTGTCCTTTATCATCCTTTCTGGGTCGATGGGTCTTCCAGTGGCGATCTCGGATGTCTTTCGAGCAACTGCCACCTATGATCCGGAGACTGCAGATGTGCTGCCGAGTCTCGGCCATGCACCTGACCTCATATCATATCCTATCTGCCGGCGATCCATTTTGGATTGAGACATCTGGAATTTGCTGCGGGGAAGGGCCACATATGGCTCAAAGACACCAGGGCAATCCACAAGAAGGGTGCAAACAAGACAACACACAGACTCCTTTTTTGGGGCCACCCACTTTGGCCATCTCCCAATTTCTAACCATGTCCCTTCTTTGAAGGCCCGGACGTTCCCGGAACGCCCCCGGAACACCCGCCCTGGAACACCCGGAAGGCCCCCGGAATTATTGCTGCACGTAGTACTGGGGCTGGCCAGTCACCTTAGGAACGAGCAGGGTTCTGCTCGACAGGTCTTCAGCCCCTGACCGCTGAGACTCGACATGTCACGACCAGTCGACATGTTCAGCATGCCCCTCCTGTAGACCCCGGAATCTGGTCTTCCAAAAAAGGGCTGGGGGAGCATGCCCCAGCCCTTAACATGGGACAACACTCGATGTCTAGAGCAAAGCAGTCCGAGAAGCGTTCAGCTTCGATGTTCGGAGAAAGGGAGGGAGGCAAATATCTAATCCAGGTCTAACTTGCAGTAATCGTAAAGCGCTAATGCTCACCGCGAAGAGCCTGAAGACCAGCTCCACGGAGCAACCCTCCGACCGATCCCGGGTCGCGTGATGGTGAGTTCGCTGCGCGAAACCGAAACCGATTCCGGTAGACTCTGGATGCATCAAACCCTCCCATTGGGGGGGGGATTGATGAGAAGGATGAATTATATTGAATTATCTAGTACTATGATGTCCTATGATGGTACCAGTGTTTGTGGGCACTGGGGAACTGTAGTGGTTGATGAGGTCTGATGTGGTGCGAACCATCTGATGCGCCTGATACGTCTGGAGTGCGGCAACTGGTGTGAACTCACCCGTTGAACTCGAAGGCGGTTCACGGCCCGTGAGGCCCTCACGACTGGTGGGCGACACACCGAACATCTGGACGCCCAACTTGGGTATGAAGAAAAGAAATGCTCACTTCCTCGAACATCGAGCCACCCTCACCTGACAGGTGGGAACCTGTGACCCAGGGTGGCGGATGGCACGCATCCCACCGAGTCACAGGGACCTGGCCATAGCTGGCCATGGGGCTGCCACCCTCGGCGAACCACACAGCTGCAGGGTGGCAAAACCTCTAGCGCCTCTAGTAGCTTCTTGGTACGGCCAGGAGCCCCTAGTAGCGTCCTTGCTCCTAGTAGCGAGGCGATGCCCTTTGCTCCTAGTAGCTTCTTGTTGCTAGTAGCGATGCCACTGCTTCAACGCAACCGCCAAAACCTGGTGGATAGGCTTAGAACCGCTACGAACACATCCATATTCGGCGTGCCAATTGGTGAACAATCCAGTTCAGTCTCTATCATGTTTGGTCCTTCTTTCTCAACATGCCCTTGTCAGGAATGTCCGACGCTAAATCAGGGGTCTCGTTTTCTCCATGCACCCAAAAATAACCTTTTGGACCACCGTACGATGTGCGCCAAGCATCTCCAACAGTCACGGGAGGCATCACATAGCCCAGCGGGCTTCCAGCCTGCGGCACCTTCGCAGGACTGAGGATCCAGGATCCGGAACGGGAAAAAAAAACCGGAGGAACCTGCATTCAGTCATTCCAAGAGAGGCTGAACAGCCCTATAGCGCATCCCATAGGTACCACTATCCTATATGGTCTCTCAGCCTCTCTTAATGTGTTTGGATGTCTGAAAGGGTGTGTGAAATCCGCACAGGCGGACCGTTTTCGTTGGGGAACCTGCAGGAGCTCATCTAAGTACGACCTCCAAATCGAAAAGTAGATGCCCACTCCAAAATGTCTTTTCACACCGTGCCACGATCTATTTGGAGAAACAACGATGGCACCCAAGGCGGGCCAAACGAATCGCCGCATCGCCCCGATCCTCAACGCCTGCGCCTGGTAGGATCCGGACATCAGGACCGGAGGCAGCTGCTGGCTGTACACGCCCGGCATGGCACCTGAGACGGTCTCATGGCCGCACGACGGGGAGAAAAAGGCGGAGCCAAACTCCCCAAAAAAGGTGTGTCGTCTAGGGCCTACACACACAGATCTATCTCCTCGCCCTTCTGCCATGATCATCCGGGCCGATCATCGGTTTCTCTTTTTTGCTCTTGACTTGCAGATCCTCCGGTCCACATCCCAACCAAATGCGCCCCAGTCCGGTCCTTCCTCCCACCCGACCCGGGACGATCGGAACGCCGCCGAACTCGGTGCCGTCCAGGTGCTCCCGGCGGGGACCCGGCTCTGGCTCTGCAGCTGCTTCTTCCGCGTTTCGCCTCACGAATTGGAAATTCAGAGGTGGGGGTGGTGGATGGCGGTGGTGGGGGCAGAGGTGGGTTCGGGTTGAAGACACTGGGACTGACTCCAACTGCTGGCTGAAGGGGGGCAAAAGGAACTGCTCCGGGACTTCCTCATTTGAAAGGACAGGTCAGAGAAGAAAGGCATCTCCACACTCGAGAGCATCCGGTGGTCGGGTAGGTACTTTGGGCTTTGGGTGCCCAATGGAGGCCTATAAGTAGGGTAGGTTAATCTATTGACCTATTGGATGATCCTGGTGATTGTGTACAATCGTGTATGTGAGTATGGTCCTTCAATGTCCTTCATGCAATGTCACAATGAGACCATTGATCCATACACACAGAGCGCGTCTTTCAGGGCTTGACTTTTTCGATCCGCTGCAGGTGTGACCTTTCCTACTTCTAGGTTCTTTTGGGCCTTTGGTCGTTTCAATCTTCTCCATCATCGCCATGTGCCAGTGTGTGATGCTTCAAGTCAAAGCATCCCGCTTCACTAAAACCAGACGGTTCTTGCGACACACACCGACACAACTCCCGGCCGTGGAAAGTGGAGGGGGATGTTTATCCCGTTCATCCGCCCCCTCATCCAAGCAACTCGCTTCCCATCCCTGCGCTGACATTGAGATCTTCTTTTTGTTCAGCTCCTTCTCTTTCTCTTTCTGGCGCGAGGAGAAGAAGAAACGGTCTCACTGGCTCTCTCTCTCTCTCTCTCTCCGGTACCGGGGGGCCCTCGGCATTGACCGAACCACGCTGATGGATGGGCATGGAAAGAGGTGGGGTGCCCCACCTCTTAAGAGGACGATGGTCACGGTGACGCCTCGAATCTTGGATGCTTTGGACTCTCCTGGTTGGTGACGACTGGGCGGCCCAGTACGGAAAGACTGGACCAGTACGGACCGTACGAGTTGAGGTCCCATGTTGAGGTCCAGGGACGACCAACCACCACCCGCGCTGGTAGAACTTCCGACCACCACCGGACCCACCAAGGACCCACCCCAGAAGCGGGCGGCAAGTGTATCTTGAAACCAGACGAGGGGGGCACCCCGGCACCCCGAACCAAGAAGCATCCCTACCAGGATCTTCTAAGAGGTGTCAATAGCCTCTTGAAGGTTTGAGGGGTGCTCAAGGAAGGTCCCCCTGGTTGGAACTGCTCCGGCTCTCTTCCCACCCCAGTGGCTTTTTGTCCAAAGCCCCACGACTGCCAACGTTAACACGCCGCAGCAGGGAGTTCGAGCCACTATGGGATCCCAAAAATGAAGAGCACCCCCAAAAGAAGACCTCCGGATGAAAATGGTATCGGCGTCGGCTGAAAGGGAAAAGGAGTCGAGGCCATGCCATAGTAGGCCAATCAGGCCATATCAGGCCCCATGGTTGCTTTAAGAAGCAACCCCCACCCGCCGCACCGGCATGCCTTCGTGTAGTTGCTGCCTTTGGAGACACGGTGTCTCCGAACAACCCGAACAACCCACCGGTCGGGCCATGCCGTGCGGAAACAAGACGTCCAGAATTGAAACAAGTGGTGGGAGACAACATTCTCAAGAGTTATCTTTGATTCACCATTTGTAGTAAAGTCCATGCATCTCTGGGTCCATTGGTAGTAGAGTTGTCCTGGACATGTCTACGCACAGCTTGTAGAGTGAGGGGGGTTTGACGACACGTTCTTTTTCCTCTCTCTCTCTATCTGCTGAGAGAATCATCGGCCCTCCGTGAATCGGCGCCACCGGTGCGTCCCGAAAGAGGTTTCATTCGCCCCACCGAGGGTTCTCCTCCCGTCCGAGATCTCGGATCTCGGTGGGTTTGGACCTCCGACTCGGGAATCGGTTTAGACCGGTCAAGTCCTTGGATGGTATACCAGCACCCGACTCTACAGGTCTCCTTTGGAGGGTTGTAAAGCCCTGTTGGAGGTCTCAATTGGTGACCTGTTGGAGGGTGCTGGTAGAGACTCCCAATGTATTGGAGACCACTCCAGTTTTTTGGGGGGCAAACGGCCTACTGTGTCGTGTCCGTCGTTACAGGTCAACGGCCTACAACCACAAGAACGGCACCTGTTTTTCGCCAAAAAGGCTCGGTAGGGATGAAGTAGTACAAGAGCGTGAAACAACCATTGGACCATTTCTATCTATTTGGGGACCACCTTTCAGGCCCAAAAAGTCTTTGTGGATCTTTGTGGTTCAACACGGGTCACCATCCAAGTAGGAGTGAAGATGGAACAACATTGCACAACACAAAGTACAAACAGTGGAGGGAGAGGAAAGAAAAAGGACACATGGATCTTCCAAAACCTAGCACCATTTAATGAATTCACTACTTAAGCCACTCTAAAACGATCTCGTCACATCTCGCCCCATGTCTCGTCATACCTACTCCTTCTCCGATCTTCTCCGTCCGATGTATTCTCCTTTCCGTCCTTTCCTCTCCGTCCGGAATGCCGAAGAGGAAGAAGGCGCAGATCCGCACTCCGCAGGCCAGCGCCACCACCACCACCAGAGCCACGGGGAACCACCAAGCCTTTGCATCCGATTTTCGGTCCTCGCGGGGCAGGTCATCCGAGCCCCACACGGGACCCTCCGGTGGTTCGTCCATGTTCGTCCGGCACGTGGCCGGGCCCTTTGGGGGATAGTCATGGTTTTTCAGAGCGCCAAGATCGTTGGTTCAAGGCTTCAATTGGAGGCTATCAATGCTGATATCCTAAATCATCCTCGCCCATGCGGCTTCAGGAGCCGCTTCATCAAGTATGAATGCTCGTGAGGAAAACAACACTCTCTTGGCAAGGTGGGCCCGTTGGCTACATTAGCCGGCATCATTTCCAAGAATTCCTGCACTCCCTTTTCCCAAGGTTCAGTTGGTCAGCTCGTCATTGGGAATTCGATGGAACTCGGACAATGCCAAGATATCAAAGGGCGCACCCTGCGAAGCTCAAAACCTACCTGCGGATGGATCACAATCTTGGAGCAAGAAGACTGTGTGACTGTTTGAGATGCCTTGAGGGTTCGGTTGATGGACTTCGACTTTTATGGCCCTCACGCTGTCCGCCAGAAGTCCAACTCAGCCTCAACCGACCGGGTCTCCTCCCGCCTCTTCGACCGCCTCCCCGCCCGTCCAAGGCTCAAACTTGGTCGTGCTGGCCACGGGCGCCCCGGTCGTCAGGATCGCGAAGGGGTCCGCCGCCACGTCGCCGGCGGCGGAGGCCACGCCCGCCACGCCGTTGGAGACGCCCGCGGTGGCACCGGCCGCGGCGCCGGTGACGGCGTCGCTGGCGGAGGTGAAGGCAGAGGCCACCTGAGAGGTGAAGCAGGGGGGCAGGGTCCAGGGATTGACCAGGTCAGTCATCCAAACATCTACCGAAAACCTTCGACAGTCCTCTGCAAGTGTCAAAGGCGAAGAGGCGATGCTTCACAAGACTATCACTTTGAGAATTGTGATGCATTGACCGGGCTTTTTAGTTTTCGATAGCCGTGAATTCCAACCTGGGGCTTTCTGGGCTTGCAAGCCAAGTGTCTATCCATCCATCTATCCATCTATCCATCCATCCATCCATCTAACCTAACCGTAGAGGCCCGATGCCCGAGCGTCTCATAAAGAGCTGTCCCTCTTGATGCTCCTCCAAGCCACTTTCTCCGTCCCCGACGCTGCGGCGTCGGCCGCGCCGTTGGCCGCGCTGTTCACCGCGCTGCCGACGCCCGCCACGGCATCGCTGCCCTGCTGGGCCACGCTACTGGCACCGTTGGCCATGTTGTCCTCAGCGCCGACGAGGACGGCCCAACCACCGTCCGGACGAAAGGCAGCTTTGCCTACATTTTGGGTGGTTATGTATAATAGTCCATGGGGTGGCACCAATTTCTTACATGAATACATGGACGGTCTGGGTCTGGGAATACGGAAATCAAAGTTATATAGAACATTCTTGAACACAAAGGCCGTAGAAGTCATTTAGAGTGGTCACGACATGGGGCAAACTCACTGAGAATGTTTCACATAACAAGAAGTAGGCAAGTAGACCATCCTGCAAGCAAAAAGCACGGGCCTTTCACCACCCGGACTGACGAGTGTGTGCTCTGCGACGGAAGACCACCGTGGCGTACCAAGTAGCTGAGACCTTGAGAACTGTTCGTTTCAGCGGCCCCAGTCAGACCTTGAACCGTGGATGGCTCCCAGTCAGATCCAAATCCAGGGCAAAACCTGCCGGTTGTGCACCTTCACCACTTCCAAGGTCGTGCTTCTTCATTCTTGTATTTGGAGATGTCAGCCTTTGGACCGCCCCGCAAAACCCCCTCCTTCCACAGCGGCCCGCCAGCGCCTCTCGCCGCCCTCGCGTTCGCTCGCTCGCTCGCTCTGGCGCGGCGCCGTCGCTCCGGCCGAGCGGCCACGGCGCCGTTCACGCCAGCGGTGACCGCATCGGAGATGCTGTTCAGCTTGGCTTCGCCCGTCTCACCTGGCTTTCCGGGACCGATCCGCTGAGGCGGCTTGTCACAGAAACCGATCCAACAGAAAGACACCATATATTGAACTACAATTGGGCGCCATCCAAGACTTTTCTTCAGCATCGCGAGACTTCCCCCATCTTCCTCTCCTCCACCCGATCTGGCTGGATCCCCAAATCCTCCAGCCGCACACCCCACCTGCTGCGGACGCCGCTGCGGACGCCACCTCCAGCGCGCAGGTCTTAGGGCCACTGACGGCCTCGCAGCTGTTGGGGGGAGGCACCCTTCCCGTGGTGGTGCCGGTAGGTGGAGATCTCATCGGTTCGAAACCATTTTAGAGAGGAATATCTTGCACAATGGGTGTGCATCTTAAACACGGGTGTGCCCCAACTAACCAATGGCTTTTGACCTAGCTTTCCTCTTCTCCCTATTGATCCGATTGCAAGAAATAAACCCAGTGCCCAGTGCTTTTTGCATCTGCTCAGGCCAAGGACGACCATGACCTGTTTTTTTCGTGCAGACGGCTGACGAATAAAACAACCCCCCAGCCATGGAGATGTAAAACCATTCTGGCAGGGGGGATGTCAGGAAAGCTCGTCTACATTAGAAGGAACCGTGACTTCAACTGCACTGAAGAAGGTCAAGACCCTGGAGGTGGTATCTTCATGGCTTCACAGCCAGGCAGGGTCCTCTTGTTCCCCTTAATGATGGGCCAGGGCCAATCTGTACCATCATAGACGATCAATTCCCTCAAGGCCACTCTCGAGGCCTTTAAACCTTGTTCCCCACTGACTGACCAGCTGAAAAACTGTCCCAACTGGCGGGAAAACGAAACGGGCACAATCGATCCATAGATCCGCACGTTTTGGCCGCACGGTTCTCTTCGAAACGCTTCTCTCAGTCCACCTCCTCCTGACGAACCCCACAAGATCCCACCAGTCACTGGTCCAGCCCCCCTCCGTCACCAGCGTGACAACGGGCCAAGGCTCCCCAGGCGCACTCAGCTCTTTGCCCACGGCGGTGAAGTGCCAACAGCCGCCTGCCGCGACGGGGCTCCGAACGGTCCGGACGGGCTGCGGATTCGGCTCGCGTCCGGTGGAACTGGGGGGTTTCTGGAGTCTGTGGGTGTTTCACCCCTGTTTATCTTCACCATGAAGGTGACCATCCTGTCATCCTAACATCTCCTCACCTGGGCATTTCGGATGGCCATCGTCCGCGTGTCCAGGGGACCGACGGACGTCGGGTGAAGCTCGCCAGCAGCACCGTGGTGAAACTCGAACCCCAGATATCCCTGAAAAAATGAATCCTGGGTCACAGAGGTCCGGAAATCATCCGAAAAGCCGTTGCGCCGCAAAGCCATGGAAAGCTGCTGGGTCGCGGGTCGCTTGGTGTTTCGAGAGTCATGGCCATTCGGTGGGCCACCTCCACCCACCATCTTCACACAGAACTTCCGCTTCGACGCATGGAAACCACCAGCAACGTCACCATCCACCACTAACAAGTCACCACCAGTTCAGTGAATATAAATTAAAATAGTGTGCCAATGAGCCGTCTGACTGGACTGCCCAATGACCACCTAGAGCTTCAAAAACAAGACCTCACCCTGCGTCGGAACACGCGCCGCTTCAGCCTTTAGGAGTGGAGTCCCCTTTCCTGGGCGCGTCTTCCGTTTCGGACGGATCGCTTTGGGGGGTCCGAACGGCGCGAAGTATGGATCGCGGGAGGCCCCATCAGCCGCGATCGGAGCAGGTGTCATAAGGTGTCTCTGTTGGAGGCCGGATCTTGAGGTCTCTTTGTGACTGCTCAGTGAAAAGCAGAGCCGTACTCTGCCGGCCCAAACGACAGGGCAGCCTGCTCCAACTGAAAATCCGGAAGACGATCAAAAAGGGCGCTGTCCCGGGCTTCGATCACGAGTTTCCAAGACTTTTGACAGTAGGTTGGGGGCCATCGCTCTTAGGTTGGATTGAGTAATGAGTTGTTTCTCACATTCATGGGTTCCACAGAGACAGACAGAGAGAGAGAGAGAAGAAAGAGGCAGTCACTGAACCCTTGCCAAAGTCTGAGGAGATTTCTCGTGACATGCTCTGTCCTCGATCAAGCGGTCTGACCCTCCGAAGTTCTTCAACAACATCACAAAGGGGTGTTCCAGGATCTGTTCTATTCTATTGCTGGCACCCCCCTTTTGTGGCAAAAAACGCCGTGCGAAACGTGCGCCATGCCCAGCGGCCAGGTGTAGGACTGGCACGTCAAAGACGTTTGGCAACTCTGCTGGCATGCCAGCGCGTCCGCCACGTAGCCAGCATTCCTGAGCTCCCCAAAAGGCCAAGCACTCACCTCGTTGGGGACCTGGAGAGGGAAAAAAGAACACCCTGAAACAATGATGGAAGTGGAACAGCTCGGCCCCATGGAAGACTGTTTTCCTCTACACTCCACGAAACCACGTTTGTTGCGGGGAGGGTACGTCCAGGTCCTTCCAACGTCCAGGTCGACCTCCCAAGGAGGCGCATCCCGTGAACGGGCGACTGCCGTGGCGGTGAACGGGCGACCGCCGTGAAGCAGTTGAAGAAGGGTGCCCCGATGATGATGGTTTAACGCACATGTGTTAGAGTGAGGGCTAATGACATAGGAATTGGCTGGGCTAGTGACTAGTGACATAGGCACCCCAAGCAGGGTGGCCCTGGTATTTCATCCATCCGTCCCAAATCCGGTCGGAGACCTGCGGCTGGGACCCCCCAACCGCCCCTCACCCGTACCCCCGCTGCAGCCGAGAAATCGGTACGCTGGCCGCTTCATAGGCCACCCCTGTCTTGGCGCAGGGCGCCTCGGCACCCCAGGCCGGGGCCACCAACACCGCCCAGGTCAGCAGCTTCATCGCAGCGCGGCGAGTTTCGCGAAGATCCTCCGGTGCCCTTGGAGCCCAAACCTTCTTAGCGGGTGCGCGCGAGACGGTGGGAGGACATTTGGGTAAGGTGGGGAGACAGTTTTTGTTGAAACAACATTCAGTGCCACTTCCACTTCCAACCAGCCAGGCCAGGAACGGTGTCGCTGTAAGGTTTCTTGAAGCTGAGCTATTCTGGTCACCATCCATCACCACAGGGTGTCATGGGCCCACTTCCATGTGAGCGCTCAGAGACTCACAAATCACTCTCCAAGCAGTCGTTCACGGATTTGGGCACCCAACCTTCGCACCCTTCGTGCCCTGGGCTCTTCTTCAACCCTTTCCATTTCCTTTGACGTTCCCAGCGGCCCCGCGGCTCCTTCACGCCGGCCTGGACCCGGTGTCTCGACGGTCTATCGCCCGGTCCAGCGACCGCACGCGGGGGAAGAGACCCTCGTCGGGCCTGGAGGGCGTCGGTCGTGGCGTCGGCCGTGGTTTTGGGCGTGGCTTCTTACCGCGTCCAGGGCCGAAAGGACATACAGTGATGCTGAGGATCCGGTCGCCAGGTGGTTGGTCCGACGATCTGGTGTCGAAGGCACTTCAGAAGTGCCAGAGCTTTCTCGGTGAAATCGAGCCAATCTTTGGCAGGTGGAGAAGCATGAGAAGCAGGTACGGGGGGCCAGGAGTGGGTGCATCTACAGAGGGACAGACCATTTTTGCCAGAATCGATGGGATTCCGGGGCTCCTCTGAGGCACTGCCCATCCGAAAAAACAGGGGTCTTGGGATCGAGGTGAAGGGGTCATGCAGGACAATGGGGTGGTAGAAGTGAATGGGGTGCCGAGCTTAGCAAGATAGGGGCGCCCATCATCCCCTCACTTTGGGGACTAAAACCCCCCGTTTGCAACTCTTGGTGTGCAAAATCATAATCCAGGCAAGCTTCCCAGGACCTTCCCCCAAACAATCAGAACATCCTCAGTTCCGCCTTCCATCCCACCACCCGGCCGCAGCAAAGACTGCTCGCCGAGGCGCGAGAAGTCGGCGTGGCTGGGGAGCACCTCGAAATGGCACCACCGGCAACGGGGGGCACCCACACTGCTCAGAGGGAGTTGAAGCCCTGCACCGGTCACCTGGATCTTTCAGCTTTCCAGTCAAAAGTGGCTGACCCACACAAAAATGACCCGCGTTGTTGGTTTTCGCAGGCGCATGCTGAAAACCAGGCGCAGGTGGCACACAAGTCTCGTCTCCCACCTTCCTCGTTTAAACCGCATGGCTCGGCTCACCCAAACTCCCTTTGAACTCTCCCTGGCTCCCGCGCGGTGTCCACCGGGGATTGCTCCGCGGATCGGACGTGCCACCGTTGCGGACTGCTCCGTTTTGTTCTCGTCGTCGGTCGCGCTTGGCACACTTGGTGCGGAGGGTGGTCCACTTTGAGACTCCCCCCCCCGCCCGTGCGGAGTGTGGGTCGACACAGGTTGGTGAGGGACATGAATTGCCAACGCGGTCGCACCATGGGGTGCCAGCAGGTGGCTTCCACCTGTTTGTGAGAGGAAGTGCTTAAATTCTAAGCACATCTGACCCAGCCGCCCCAGCAGTGCAGCAGTGTCTCCCAACTGCAAGGAGAAGTGTCTAGAACATTCTAGACCAACACATCCCTTTCATGTTGCCTTTTCACCCAAGACCCAAGACCAGGCGCCTTTTCAACCACCGGAACGCCCGTCTCAGAACGTCGAAGCCGTGGACACCCGTCGAAACCCGGCGTTGCGCCGTGGTCCTCCGGTGTACACGGCCTCCCCTCGGTGGACCCGGTGGGGGCAGGCTTCAGCGGTCGGTTTCTACTGTAACGTTTACTGTATCAAATGCGTAGAAGACGGTGACAGTGTTTCTCTCAACCCGTGCAAGGAAGGCCCAACAAACCTTTTCATATCGTTTTGGTGGAGAGGCCACACCTTAGAAGAGGCTGTCTTTTCACGGGTCCAGTTTTCAAGGTGAAGTTCGTGGAAAGAAGACCCTGAAGTTCGAGCTTGACTTCTTAGTCCGACATGAGGTTTGACGTCTGGAGGTGTAGCAGCTACGTGGGCACGAGTGGAGCACCGAAATGTCTGACACTGAAACAGCTCACTGCCCCGCTGGCGCGCTGCCGCTGGCGCGTGCGGCATCACTCTTCTCCTCCTTGGAGACGGCTGTCGCTCAAGAACCCAGGATTCCAACCATCAGTGCTATGGTCCACACAAGGGGAAAGTCTCCAGCAGTTGCGACGGGAAGAACCCATAGCGATCCTGAAAATCCTGAAACGAAACCCATGGACAACGATCCCAACACTCGCCCACAATCATGCCGGAAAACGGAGATCCAACTCCCAACGCTACGAAATGGGATAGCTATGCTGGGCGTGACGATGCCGGCTTTGAGGGTCTTATCTTTCTAACCTGGTCATTGTCTCAAAAGGAAGTGAAGGGAGAAGAACCCGGAAATGGATGGAAATGGATCGTTTCTCCACAAGTATGTCCTTCAAACATGTTTTAAACTTGTCCGGCCAAGAAGCTTGGCCTCCAGCTGGAAGGGGGAGGGCGGAGTGTGCAGCGACCCCACAGAGCACACGTGTCCACGTGTAGCACACCCCGCGTCCGGAGGAAGAAAGAAGTACTACTAGAAGTACTATATAAATGCAGCAATGAAAAGACAAAAAAAAAAAAAACAGAAACACTCAGTTACTTAACATGGAGCTTGGGGGTGCCCCTGTCACCACATCCACTGACTGGGACTGGTCGTCCCACGTCGTCCCTGACGCCGGACGCCGAGCGTCCTCGGTGCCTTCGGTACTCAGCCGATGGCCGTGGCCACTGAAGGGCACGAAGGGCCGCAAGCCAGGGATGTCCATTTGAATGACTCCTCGCGGGCGGGGTCGTGAATGTAGAGAAGGACCTATTCTTGAGTGTCTTTTCAGGGCGGGGGTCATGTGGAGAGGGCCGCGTTTTTTTTTTTAGGAATTTGTTTCCGTTTTTTTTTGGAATTTTTTCTGGTCCACCAGAAGCCAACAAAAGCAAAAAGCAACAAAAGCCAACAGAAGCCTTCGAAAGTCAACACAAGTCACCAAAAGCCACCAGAAGCCAACAAAATAGCCACCAGAAGCCAACAAAATAGCCACCAGAAGCCACTAAAAGCCACCAGAAGCCAACAAAAGCCACCAGAAGCCACCAAAATCCCACAGAAGCCAACAAAAGCCACCAAAAGCGAGTAAAAGCCACCAGAAGCCAGCAAAAGCCGCCAGAAGCTAGCAAAAGCTACCAGAAGCCACCAGAAGCCAACAAAAGCCAGCAAAAGCTAACAGAAGCTAGCAAAAGCTACCAGAAGCCACCAAAAGCCACCAGAAGCCAACAAAATAGCCACCAGAAGCCAACAAAATAGCCACCAGAAGCCACCAAAAGCCACCAAAAGCCACCAGAAGCCACCAGAAGCCACCAAAATCCAACAGAAGCCAACAAAAGCCACCAAAAGCCAGTAAAAGCCACCGGAAGCCAGCAAAAGCCAACAGAAGCTAGCAAAAGCTACCAGAAGCCACCAGAAGCCAACAGAGATACCTAATGCCTAAACGCGAAAAAAAATCCAAAAAAAAACGAAACAAAATCCTAGAAAAATATGAGTTCCTGTGGAGAGGGGCCTAGATTGTGGAGTGACCCTGACCCAATCCAAAAAAAGAACGTCGATAATTAGATTCTAGATGGGGGGTTTATGAATCAAGAGTCTACATTACCCCAACAACCCCAGACTCCCCAGACCCCTAGCCACGCAGCCTCCTGAGTTCGGCTGCTCGGGCGTGTCCGTCCGCAGCATCTCGCGGAAGAGGCGCATGGCGAGGACGGCGCTGATGGTCGCCAGCAAGACGGTGGTGCCCGAAGAGATCAGCGCCAGTCCCAGGTCACTCATCGCCTCCACAGGAGGTGGGGCTCTGAGTGGAGGTGGAGTCCAAGGAGCCCAAATAGGGTGAGCCAGGCACGCCGGGGCGGACAGGGAGGCAGTCCACATCAGTCACATGTCGCTCGGGGTGCCGTTCCGCGAACGGATCGGGATGGCCCCTGTCACATCCATTGGATGGAACCAAAAGCCACTCCTGGTCCGTCCACGCAGTTTCCATTTTGGGGGCGCTTCGACGGACCGCATGGCCGTCGACGTCCTCCGCTCGTCGAGCTTGGCGGTCCCGGTGGTACGGGTTGGCCTCGTCGTGGCTGTGACCCAAATGCGCCACGTTGTGCTCGTGGTGATGGTGCACATGATGCACATGCTCATGCGCGTGCTCCGGGGGGTGGTGCTCATAGCCCGAACCACGGTCCTCAGGCCAGGCCGACTCCCACTCCATCAGGCGTGAAAAGGGAAGAAACCGAAATACGGGCAACCTCATATCCGAATGTCCACCGCCGATGTCCATGAAGCAAACGTCCAGCGATTTCCAGCGAAGTCACTTCTGGGAACCCTGTAGTAGAGCTTGATGTAGCACTGCTCGAGGGCGGTTTTTCCGCAACCGATGTTTGCAACACCCCGAAAACCCTGACCACCAAGTAGCACTGGCAAACCACGACAAACCCGGCAAACCCCCATCCATGCGTTTGAAAGAGAGATGTTTGAGCACCTCCTTGGTGCAACCGGGATTTGCCTCCAAGCAACTGATGGCCCAGCATCCCAAAGATCATCCAGGTCTAAGTCAATCTGCGGCAGCTGGCGACCTCCACGCGTGGCCACCTCAATCGTGAGCCGGATAGCACACAAAAGAATTTAGCATGAGAAAAGCGCGCACTTAAGGACGAGTTTACAGTTCGTGATTCACAACCCAGTTATCTTTCTGGGCTATTGCCATCTGAGATGAAAAGTACAGTAAAAAGAATCACCACATCTGCCTGCTCCCAACCACCACCGAATTGCACGGTGTCTCTCCTCTTTCCGGAACACGCCCCAGTCGCTTTGGGTCGAGGCCGGCGGCGACCACTCCCAAGGGCCTCACACCCTCTCACTGCGGGTGCGGAACCCCCCACCCACGCCCCCAAAACGCCTCCGACGTCCAAGCTGCGACCACTCGAGCGGGTGGCTCCAACTTCCAACCCGAGCGCAGCAGCTCCTGTGGCAGCGACAGCCGCGCCGGTAGCCTTGAAACGGACCAGGCACACGTGCTCAGGTGTTGAAGTGTGGAGGGGCAGGTGGATAGACGAAGGTGCCCAGAACCGGCCGGGTCGGTACCAAAGCCGGTTCGGGAGATGTGAAGATCAAGGGTGCCCAAAAGGTGAGTTGATTTCACCTTTCAGATGATTCAATGAGCATGGTGCCATGTGGTGAGTTGATCTTCTCTGCTGTAGTTGGCTTCTGTTGCTTTCTTTTATTGGTTTACTTTAACATACCTCTCCCCCATAGTTTCCTGGAACCCCAAAGCAACCGGAAAGAAATGGATGCTTCCCCCCAGACAGCCATTTCCTATATGTCAAGTTTTAATGATGTCAATTGCCATATTGGAACAACCACTTGTCTCTGGTTCCAGGTTGGTCTCATCTGTCCCCCAAAAAAACCCTCTCATCCGTCGCACGTGCGCGACGCGCCGCGTCTCGTGCCGTTGAGCGTCTCCAGAAATCCGGCCCAGCGCCCGACGCGCAGCGACGGCTCCATGGCACGACAGCCGCGCACCGGCGCCCGGTCGCGCGGCGCGGGTCCGGCTGAAGAAGATCCGGTTCAGAAAGTCGAGGGTCCGGATCCGTGCCGTTGGGGCCAGGGAAACACACACAAAGAAAACACTTCGGCATTGCGTTGGTTCCTTGTTCGATGCTTATTTGTTTATCAGAGCTCTTCCTGTGATGTGAACAGTAAACTTTTTTGGCCCACACGTAGCCCAAGACACAAAACATGACATACGGTACAAAATCACTAACCCCCCAAAAAAAAATATTACATTCAAAAAGCCTTGGAAAGCTCCTGCAAAGTATGAGAACCCAGTGTTACCCTGGCTCAAACCACCCGTAGTACGCAAGCGATGTTCTTCCAAAAGCAAACATCGAAACAGAAACGGACTAAGCACCAGAAGGCGAGACTGTTCTACATGATCTATACATGTTTCTGCTTGTCTACCCAGATTGTTTTCCGAACTAAGTGACTTGGGTATTTAACATCTACGAGATTGTTTTCCTGCTTATCAGTTGTTCATCTTTTCCTGACTAAGTGACTAAGTGACTCACCACCCTTTCTGCAGCTCAAGCCCTCGCACCAAGCGCAGCGGGGCCCCCCACAAAGCGCAGCTCAGCGACGGCCATCGAAGCCTCAGGGACGGCCGCGAACGGCGGACCCCCTGACGCTCCCTGGACTTTCATCGAACCACCCACTGCGACCCGGTCAGATGGACCCCAAGAGGAAACAAAACGGCACCCAAGATCTCAACAGAATGGGGGTCCAAGCAAACTGGGATTCTGCCATCGCCACCTGTACATCGGCTTCTGCAGCCGGACCGTCCCTGGTGTGTGATGGCGGACGGCAACCCTGAAAACCACCATGTATTTCACCAAAACCCTGTTTTTAATCAGTTAATGAATTTTGAATCAACCATTGAATACATCTTTGAGGTCAAAGCGGCCCCTCCGGAGCCACGGAGGGAAGAAAAACGGCGACCTGTCGACCTCCCACCCGGGTTCTCACCAAGCGGCGCATCAGCCCATGGTGCCGCAGCCGTCCCCGTCCCCAGAGCCCAGGCGATTCTACACTAAGCGAAGCCAAGTAGTGATCGACCGGTTTTCGACCGGCTTGTGGTCTGCAACGGTCATTCTTAACTCCTGAAGACCATTGAGGAACCCCTCATGGCGTTTTCGGGCTGAGCTGAACACCTCTTGCTCGAAGAAACACACCGGACGTCCACGCCAATACGTTGAAGCACTTTCATAAAACCCTTGGGTGAAACAAAAAGCAGCTCAGATTCTCTGCACCTGGCCCATCATGGAAGAATGGTCCTGCAGCTTTCCAGCCGCACTGCTGAGCCCACAGAAGCTGGAGGCGAAGGCAATCACTTCCTCGGTTGCCTCCAAAAGAGGATTATGGTGGATGGCGAGTAGATGGCACAATCCTCAAAAAGGTTGTTAATATGGACCCCCCATCTACCCCACTGAACACTAACATCGACCCTGAAAACCACGGGTTTGTAGAGGAAAACAGTCTTTGAGGGTGCCATTCTCAGGGTCCATGTTAGTTTTCGGGAGTGTAGAAAGACCTGTGTCGCTGTGTGCCGTCTACTCTGAAACCGCTGTATGTGCACAGTTCCTTCCATGCCTGTCCCAGTATCAATAACTCAATGGAAGTGAAATCCAAGTCCAAGACCATGAGGCATTAGGAACAAGAAGCTACTAGGGGCTCCTGGCCTTACTACTAGGAGCAAGAAGCTACTAGGGGCTCCTCAGACCAAGGGATCCAGACAACAAGGCTGAAGTGCTGGGTTGGAAGCCCTGGGCCAAAGGCGATGGGCAAACTAATGTGGCCAACCCCGGGCCAACCCCCGCGGTCTGGCAAATTCCAATTCCCGTGATTCAGATCGGGGCTACGCAAGACCTATGAGACGCCATGGAATTCGTCGGCATCGAACCCAACTCAAATGTTCCGTTCAACTACCCGACCCAATTCATAACCTAACTCCATCGATTTGCATGTCTATAGTCCATAGTCTATAACTATGCTATGCTATGCTAGGCTATGCAACGCTAGTCTATACTATACTACCCGGGCTGTTTCAGCCACCCCAACGGCTCGGGCGGCCTCTTTTTCCGGCTCCGCGGTGGGCCCCGTTCGGGGGGGAGCGGTGCGAGCGGCGCGGTCCGCGCTCGCCCGGCCGGAGGTGAAGCGGAGCTCAAGATCTGTGGGAAAAAGCCCTATAGTAGCTACTTGCTCCTTTGGCCGTACGGCCAGGAGCCCCTAGTAGCGTCCTTGCTCCTATACTTCTACCAAATCTCACCACGTTCATTCATGTTTTGTTGTGGGCGAACTTGGCCTCATTGAACTTGGCTTCTTGGCTTCACACGTCATAGGCCTTGACTTCTCATCCACCCGACGGCCGTCTCGCTCCCACCGGGAGAGGGTGAAACGAGTCCACAGAATTCGATGGCGGAGGCCGTTGGACTCTAAGAACCACCTCTTTGGACGAAGGACCGGACATCAAGTGCAAGAACCGGACTGGTCGATATGGTCCCTTGGTCAAAAAGAAGCACCTCTCGAGGCTCGCCTGAACTTGGAGATCTGCAGGCCTCCGCGATTCGTGGGTCGTTTGAGGCTGTTCTCGACCGCGCCCGCACCTTCCTCTCATGAGCCCGGCGGCTCAGGCCTCGGCGGACTGCGAAAAAGGCCTGTGGGTGCAGATGCCGACATGCTAAAACGAACTTGCCCAAGACCTGTTGGAGATGCAGTCAGGAGGTCCAATTGATACTTACTAGCGGCCACCTCAGACTTTGATAAAGCAGAGAGGCAAAAATCAGACATACCCTCCCCGCACCGCACCGCCCCCCCCACGCTCCCCAGACACCCCCGGACCCTCTTTTCTTCGATGGCCACGCGCCGCTCGGCCGCGCGCGCCCACGCGTAACCCGACCCGCGCACCGCGGCCGCCGCCGCGCGGAGCGGCGCCACGTGCTGCGGGAAGCGCCAGCGCGAGCGCTTCCACGCGAAGCGCGCGAACTGGCCTCGGCGGTGGCCCGGAACCGCCAAGAAAACGAAGATTGAACAAAGGAACTCCGTAAGTGACAGCAAACTGCTGGCATCAATGAAACCTTGTGAGACTCACCAACATCGGTCAACAAGTTCATTTCTGTCAAGATCCCAGGTGAAAAACTGCTGGGCCTCCCCCTTCCCACCCCTTCCCATCGCAAAGGACCCATCGCCCAGGCACAGGTCCAGCGGCGACAGCTAGCGAGCGAGAAGGTCGCGTCGAAGAGTCCCAGCGGGATCCGCCTCGGTACCATGGAGCCCGTCTGACCAGGGACCCTGTCCTGCGCTGTTTGCATGGCCTGTCCTGCGCTGTCTGTAAGGGTAAGTAGCCCTAGCTCTTAGAGTGAAAGGAGCGTCCCATATCCAACGGTTTCAAGCTCCAACCGCACCCCAGTCAATTGGACCTCGTGAAACGACGCTTGGTGCAACGACAACGACAGGTTTCACGCGGGTCTCCCCGATACGAGCGCGGACTTGGGGATGCAACGCAGGTCTCAACGGTCTCAACAACCCAAAGACGATTGACCAGTCACAGGTCGGGGTGGCTGTTCGTCCCATCCGAGTGGATGTGAACAGGGGCACCCCGATCCCTAGCCTCAGCGAACGGCACTCCATGTGACTCCTGGGCTCAATCAGTGACGTTCCGACTGGTTCGCCGCATGGCCCACCCCTGCCATTGGAATGGACGTCGATGGAATTCGGTCATAGTAAATAGGTCGCATTCCATTGTCCACTTCCATGGGATGTGCGCGTCGTACCTCCCAGGAGTACACGGGAAGAGTGCGTTCCAAGCGTCAGCCAGTGGCAAACGGATGCCAAAAGCTCCTGTCAGAACGTGCAAAAGCGAAGTGGCACGGTCCGAATGGAACGATGCAACCCAGGACTGTCAATGCTGTTCTAAGCTTCCAACCACCAGGGTCTTCCAACCACCCAGTCAAGAGTGGTGAGAAGCACCCGGACCCCCATGACTCATGATGTCATCTCAAACCATTGACCATCCGTGGGGAAATTCCAACACCCTTAACGCATCTAAACTTGAACTTGGACTCCCTTCTCCACCCCCACTCCTCGGGCTCGAGGAGCGGCTGCCATGGCAGCCCCTTCCGCAGCAGGGCCCAGCGCCCGAAGTAGGCCGCCACGAAGCGCGAAGCGCGCGGCACGAGGCCGTGCCAGTCGTTCGCGGCGAAGATCGTCTCCTCCGCGTCGTGTCGTTCGCTCGGCTGGTCGGACCTCAAGGGGTGTCTTCATAGCCTCCTTAGGGCGGTCAATTCACCGTCTAGGGGCCCTGGTAATAGACTCTCGGCCCTGGGAATTCATCCGGTCCGGGCATCCGGAACGGCCAAAGTGCGCCCTGACTTGGGAAGATGATGTTGGCAGTTTTGGCCACAAGTGGGCGGAACAAACCATGCACGGTGTCCGCCCACTTGTGTGTGTGTGTGTCTTTTTCTTTGCTTTTGCATCTGTTTCTTTGCTTTGAAAGCGACTTCGCAAGCTTGTTTCACCGTTCGCATCTGGCCAGTTGCCCAGCACCCTCCTATAGAGACGTGGAGGCAGCTTCTTCAAGCCTCCAAAATGGCCGATCATGTATACCAAGACCATGAAAAAGAGGTCCGAACTTGGCCTCTCAACCTCTCTCAACCGGTGTACTGAATCTCTCTCCACCAACCTAGCGTCCGGTCGCGAACGGTTCGTAAGGCCAAGAGCCCCCCGTTCGGTAAAGGCCACGATCGCTCTCTCAACCCGCCCTGTTCTCCTTCACCTCCTGCGCCCCGGCCAGCGGCACCGTCCAGACCGCGTCCGGCGGCTCGAAGAGCCGCAGGGGCGGGTGATCCGCCACCCAGATCCTGGGTTGGGGAAGGGTGAAGAGAGGAAGGGAACCCTCAAGGCCAGATGGGGGCATGAGAACGAATAAGAAGAAGAAGAAGAAGAAATGGATTGGCATGAGAAACATCTTCAAGGCAATCTCTACAGTTTCGACGCAAAATTTCGAGTGATGTGAGGTAGGAAAACATCGAGCCGCGAAGTAAGTATAATATAAATGCATCTATTTTTCTGAGGATGGTCCTTGTCGTCGTTCTTTGTGTGAATTGGGGGCAAGCAGTCTCCTCAAGAGTAAGGGCACCAACCTCAAGAAACAGAACCACCAAGTATATCCAAGTATAAACATTCACAGATGATTTGGGGCTGGTTCGTCTGTCTTTAGCATTCTGTGGCCCTAGGCCGCAGGGACCTACAAGAACATGGACCGAATCTTCCATCCTCCGAAGCCATCCGTGGCCTCCCACCGCTGAAGCGCATCACCGGGTGTCAAGTCCAAACGGCTATACAGCAACCACTTGAAGCGCCGCTTCCGCTTCCGCTCCTTGGGCCGAGCAGCCCAGTGGGGGAGCAGCCCAGCCCAGTTTGGTCACGCGGAAGGCGGTTGGGGTGGCAATGGGTGGCAGGGCCCCGAGATCGAAGATTAAACAGGTGGGGTTTGGTGAGTGTCCTTGTGGTTCCCTCATGCGAACCAAAACGAAAGGCGTTCCCATGATAAACTGCGTTTCGGCAAAAAGAACAGAGCTCCACTGAGGAA